CAAAAGCCCAGAGAATTCTGTGTCTTTTTGGTTGGCTTAACAAAGGTATTACTACAATGAAAACTTTGGAAACTACCTTGTCACACAATCATGAATTGCCACCTTTTTTTCTCTCCTGTTAAGATGTTTCAGCTGTCTTCCTTCAACAGAACATTTTATCGGTCTATTGTAGATAAAGTAGTAATAGACAGCATAGCAGCCTTATTTCCCAAAAAACTTGGGAGTGACTCATCTTCATGAAAAGCAAAGTGGCATGAATCACAGCCATCATGGTGACTCAGAAGGGTAGCAAGAAGGTATCTGCTGGTAACAGAAATATTGTTTAAAATGCCCTATATTGAGTTAAAGATACTGATTTACAGAGGGGGTTTCCCCTTTAGAAAAATATAACCACTCTTTAAAAAAGAAAAAGCAAGAGATTTGGTTTCAACAAAACAAAAGAAAACGCCAATTCCTCTGTGTCTCACACCATATCGTCCCTTATGCCTAATTTGCTTGCAATCCAGACATTCAAGATCTGCTTTTGTGTTCTCCTAAGTGAAATCATGGTAGGTTATTTTTATTCTAAAAGCTTGCCTGTACAAGTGTAAATGAACAGCCCGTGGCGGTTCATTATCTGCAGTAATCAGTAATCTTGAGATGGGGAAAACTCAATTCCAATATTACTATTCTGGGGCGCAGAACTGGCCTAGCCATTATACAAATGAGGCACTTGTCTGGAGTGACAAAACTGGAGGAGAAATCTGGAAAGGGCACCTGAAATCAACAGTAGAAAGGATAAAAAGAACAGTTTCTCAGCCTTCTAGATGCAAAAATAGGGCAGAGACCAGTTCCACTGGAAGCTGGTGTATGCATATAAAATATTATATGTTATAATAAAAAAATATTTAAAAATATTTCTAAAGTTCTCTTCATCTTTCTGGTGATGTTCTTATGAATCTATCAATTTGTAAATATTTCAAAAGCCCCTCCTTTTTGCACTGTTTGAGTTACGGGAGAAAAAGATGCTTAAATAGCAGGGCCAGTCCAAGACATGTTGTTGCCTGAGGCAGAACAACAAAAGTTACCCCACCCCTACATATCCTCCAACTGCTGCAATTTGGCAAGGATAGTCCCAATCAATTCTGTACCATCCCACTTTTCAGATGCTTTCAAAGTGCCCAGTTTATCTCTACACTTTCCCTTTGCCCTCAATTTAGGAAATATCACAGCACTAATTAAAGTGACTTACCTGAGCCAGCTTTAAATTTAAAATGGGTCACATCTTGATGTTATCACAAGGACCTTGCCTCCAAAATCACTGCCTGGGTGCAGCCTGGGTCCATCCCCGCTCCCAGGGCTGCTCCGATGGACATTTCCTTAAGCCGGAAAACTCCAGGCTTTAAAAAAAGCCGTGCTGGGAGGCCCTGGGAGCAGGGATGGACCCAGGCTGCACCCGGGTGGTGATTTTGGCAGCAAAATCCTTGTGATAACATCAGGATGCTGCCCATTTTAAATTTTAAGCTGGCTCAGGTAAGCCACTTTAATTAGCGCTGTGATAATCTCTTTATTTTAATTACTTTACCTACCAAAACTGAGCTCAAAGTACAAAAATAATTTGTACTAACTTAGGAGCAAGGGAGAAGAGAAAGGATGGAATTTTGCCCTTGCCAGTAGGCTCAGGCAAAAGCAATTGTCTTAGATTATCTGTTTATTTATTTATTTATAGCACTAATAACTTTTGCCTTTTGACCACATCCTGGTGTTACTTAGCCACACATGTCCCAGTTTTCATCTGTGAAATGTTGGAGGAGTTACCACTACCATCACTTTCATCCAAGTCAAGGAGCTTTGATCTCAAAACCAGCCATTTTATTTTGGCAGTGGAGATAGAAAATCACATGAATTCCTTTCCCCATCCCTGGCAGTAAAAACAGAGAAATAAAGTAAATAGCTAACATTTTGCTGTCCTTTTTAAAATGACACCTAAAGTCTGCTGCCTCACTCAGTCTAATGGTAAGGCCAGCCTTGCTTAGACAGAGCCTTTTCCACAATGGCACTGACATTTTGGAACTTCATCAGATGGGAAGCACAAGCTTTGCTCTTACTGTCAGCAACGGAAAGAGACAGTTTCATTTTAAAGGACTTCTGAAATGCTTGTGTTTTCTTCTTGGAGGCCTGTATTTTTTGGCTTTTGCCACTGTTTCTCTTTTATTATCATTAAATTAATTTATATTGCTGATATGCTTCCTCAGTATGAGAAGATAACAAGGTCTTTAAAAAAAAGAGGCAGTGAGGATGAGATGTTTCTGCAGTGATCTGTCACAACAGTAAGTAAAAGACATTTACACACGTGGCCTTCAGTTACTCATTGAGCAAAGAAGGAAGGGGGGGATGAACAGTTTAAAAATCTGATGAGCAATAAATAAATATAAAATGAAAATGCATGTATCTGGATAGACTCAATCATGGAAGCCACAGCCTTGAGTCTGCAAAATCTGAGCAAGGCTTTTGATAATAGGGTGCAAAAGGATTGTATAGGACTAAGTGAAAGAAAGAAGCTGGTAGCATGAGCTTTCATAGACTTTAGTCTTCTTCCTCAGATGCATAGGGTAGAAATAATAGGGTGACTTGCAGTTCTCTCCTTCATAGGGTCGCCATAAGTTGAAGTTGACTTGAAGGCAGTTAACAACAAATGCATTTTGGAAGCAAATGATCCAATTACAGCATCAAGCTATATTAGAAACACATAATAATCAGGTATAGAAGACTGGTAATGGCATAAGACCCATTGCCATCTGAGTTTTATATAGATATACACATGAGTATGAACACACACATTCAGGGCACCTCACCTATACGTGCATCTCAGTTTCTCTGAAACTGCTTTTATATATGAGTTTCCAGTTATTAGCTTTTTCACAAACTGCACAAACTGTCACTGGCAGCATTGCTACATCTGTAATGAATCTTGTTCCCAAATGTTAGCATATAGAGTGTTATCTAGCTTCTAATTAACAAGTTATTTATAGACCACTTGATAAGAGGATAATGCTAAGCCCCTTCTGGCCCCTTCTGGTGGAGAACCAAGTAGGAGGTAAAAGATGTCATGGTATAATCAAGAGAGCTGCCACTTAATCTCTAACCAAACCTGGCACAGCCTATCTTAAGACCCTTATACTGCATTCCTGTGTGCACTTACTTAGTGTGATTAAGCCCCACTGATCCCAACTTGGCTTTCTTCTGAGAAATGCTCAGGACTGAAATGTACAGGTAAGGCAGGCCTGCACAACTTGGCAGTGGAGGGAGGGGAATTAAAATAATTAAAATAGTAAATTAAAACAGGCCACAGATAGGTTTCAATTAAATATTAATTAATTAATAATATTAATTAATAGTAATTATTGATATTAATTATAATTAATTACTATTAATTCCATCCTCCTCTGCACAACCCTCTAGGAGAAAGCTGAGCAGCAGAGCGGCCTTGCCTGTTCCCCTCCTCTTCCACCTCGACTTCCCCTTGGGGGAAAGCTGAGCAGCGGGGGAGCCTTGCAGGGTGGGTGTTCCCCCCATCGTTCTCTGCCACCACCGCCACCTGGCCTTTTTCCTCAGGACAAGGCAGGGTGGTCGAGGAGCTTTGCATAGCGAATGTTCATTCTTCCTCCTCCTCCTCCTCCTCCTCCTCCTCCTCCTCCTCTTCTGCATGCCCTCTCCTCAGGAGGAGGCTGAGCAGCAAAGGAGCCTTGAAGTTGTTCCACATCCTTAGGGGCTGCCCAAAATCCTTTGGTGGGCCGCACGCGGTGCAGGCCTGAGGTAGGGTATTTTATGACAGTGATTATCAAATTTTGGTCCTTCAGATTTTTAGGGCTTCAACTCCCAGAATGCCTGAACACTGTCCACAGTATCTGGGACTTGGAGGTGTTGAAGTCAAAAATACCAAACATTGAGCACAATTTATGAGACTCATATTTCATGTCTGTCTAAGACAGATTAAGAGTGTTCTTTAGGCCAGTGTTTCTTAAGCTATCTGATTCTTTTCTCATCAATCTGACAGGGTCCAGTGTGGTACTGGCTACTGTTGTTCCTTTCTTACATGCAGACTCTCTAGGGACCATCAGCAGATGGCTAAGGCAACAGCACTGATCCAGAGATCACTACTTTGAGTGACACTACTTTAGGCTATTAAACCCATGCATCTGATTCTGGATGCATTATCATCAGTTGTTGCCCCATAATGAGTCTCTTGTTGGAGACCTTCCAAAACTGTGACTCAAAATGTATTTTCAGGAAAATTTCAGAAACTGCTTTTCAGATTTCAGACATTAAATGTAATCTATTGTTATTACTTGTCTGTCTTCTAATGAGAACAAAATACCCTAGAGGTACCAGATCCTGTGAAATCTTGGAAATTAAGCAGGGTCAGCCCTGATTGGTACTTGGATGTCAAGGAATACTAGGTACTGTAGGTTATATTTCAGAAGAAGGAAATGGCAAAACAACCTCTAGTATTCCTTGCCTAAGAAAACCCTATGAAATCAATGAGGTCACCATAAATCAATAAATGACTTAAACACATGCATGGTAGATTACAGAACAGCATTTCCTCAGCCATGTCCAAGGACCCAAAATTGAAAAGAGGACCTCTGTCAGACTCTAATGAATACTGTCTTTCTGAATTTTTTCAACATTTTCCCTTCCTCATCTTGCATACATTTTGGATTCTCAAGACCTTTGATTGTAGCTATTGTCATAGAGAAATTCAACATTAATTGATCTTGTCATTGCCCAGAATAGCTCAGTAGCTCAAGGCAATGGAATTTTGAAATGCAATACCTTTCATACATGTCTATTCTTCCTTTAAGCCTTGGTTGACAGGTGACTTGAAGGTATACACATAATAGACACATCCTAACAAGTTCAAGAAGGCTTACATAATCTTCATAACAACCCTGTGAGGTAGGTCAATCTGAGAGACAAAAGAGTGAGCGATTGGACCAAGCTTAATGGACTGTGTTTCATAGCTCAGTGGAGACTTGAACCTGGGTCTTCTAAGCCCTAGTCCAATATTCTAACCACTAAAGCACTGTGGCTCTTCTTCCTAAAAAGCAAGGTAAAGATGACTTTGCAGACTGCCAGAAATAGTGCACATTAAATTGAGGCACTGCCCCGGCTCAGTGCTAGGGAATCATGGGAACTGTAGTTTTTTTCTGAGACATTGAGCCTTCTCTGTCAGAGAGCTCTGGTGCCACAATAAATTACAGTTCCCATGATTCCATAGCACTGAGCCAGGGCAGTGCCTCAATTTAATATGCAATATTTCTGGCAGTCTGCAAAGGCCCTAAGTTCTTGGCAATGACATGGCATTGGCCAGGCCTTGCTAGGCTCAAGTCTGTTGCACTGATAGAGCACAACTGGGAAATGTGTGGCCCTCTAGGTGTTGTCTGAAAACACCTGGAAGGCCACAATCCTGAAAGGGGGATAGATAACACTGAACAACTTTGGCCCTAGTTTCCCTAGCTGAAATAGAGTAGGTCTGATTTGAAAGTATCCCAGAGCATCCAAGCTACATTTTAACATAATCCACAAAGTCCAAATTATTTTTGGACCACAACTGCTGGATTTATTCCCCTGCTCTTCAGTTCCATGAATGATACAGGAAAGGAAACAGCAAGATCATGTCTGCTTTTTAGCCATCTAGTAAAGGTCCCAGATAGACTCCAATTGAACAGCAAATCAAAGCAGCAATGCTAGAAGCTTTTTAAAAGCTTCTGACTCATTTAGCAAGGGAAAATGTGTTTTTCACCCCACCCCCCCGATGTGCTATTTTTGTAGTATCACATTTTAGAGTTAAATCACAGGCAACAATAAAAGTATCATAATAGCCTGGGTCTGTTTGATATAGAATGGCATGATGGGTGGTATCACATTCAGCATTTAAGTGACACCCAGTGGCGTCCTCATACCAGGTGTCACCTGGGGTGGAGTAGGCTGCTGGGGGGCAGCAGCCTTGGCTCTCTCCTTTGTCGTAGTGGAGGTCTCCTTATGAGGAGGCCTCCCTCACCACAGCAAAGCCGAGAGAAATGAGCTTGGGCCCCTCCTTTGCCCCAGTGGTAGAGGGCTCCTCATGAAGAGGTTTCCCCCACCATGACAAAATTGACAGACGTTTGCTCAGGACTCTCCTTTGGCCTGGCAGTGGAAGTCTCCTTGTGAGGAGGCCTCTTCTGCTGTGGCAAGCTGACAGGGCTATCTTGGCCCTCCTCACAGTGGGAAGAAGACCCCACTGGGTGTCACCCCTTTTTTGAGGTGTCACCCATTGCGATCCGCTTTCTCCACACCCTCCTAGTGACACACTGGTGACACTGAATCTAGAAGAAGCTGAGTGCTCCTGTTTACTATCAAATTTACTAAATGAAAGGAAATGTGAGAAAGCTTTCCATGTCTTCACATGCATTCCAGGTTGAAAAGAGATGATCCATTAGACCAGTCTAGCCATGCAGCGAAACCCATATTCAATTCAAGGCTGCTCTTCAGAACAGTGACGTCACCAGGCTTGGTGACATCCAGTGCAGGGGCGTGTCAGGGGGCAGTGTCCTTCCCTGACCCCCCCTTCCTGCTGCCTTGCTGACCTGCCACTGTTGCCACCACCTTGGCTCCCTCCCCAGGGACAGAACCAGGCTGGCAACAAAGCCACAAGGGGCACAATCACTCCCTCCACCGCAGTGGGTGCAGGGCCCCACCGGCTGTCACTCCTTCTTTGGTGTGTCACCTGGTGCAGACTGTACCTCTTGCACCCTCCCAATGATGCCACTGCTCCAGAGTTGATGTAGAAGTTAGGGCCACTGCCCCATTACCACTCCATTTAAAATTTAGGTGGAGGAAAAGGCCAGATCACATAATTATCTGACCTGGATGCTGCATGATGGGGTGAGCTCCCATCATTAGTCCCAGCTTCTGCCAACCTAGCAGTTTGAAAGCATGCAAATGCAAGTAGATAAATAGGCACCACTTTGGTGGGAAGGTAAACAGTGTTCTGTGCAGTCATGCTGGCCTCATGATCACAGAGTAGTCTCTGACAATGGGGGCTCTTCAGATTAGAAATGGAGATGAGCACAGCCCCCTATGGTCAGACACAATTTGACAACCTTGTCAATAAGGAATACCTTTACCTTTAAGGTTCCCAGATCAGCAGCATCCCATTCTTTGAAATTTCAGAGCTAAAAATTTGAGACTGGGAAAGGGTCTGTGTAAGAATGTACATCATCATCAACAACTATTCTGTCCTTACACAAGAGGGTAAATAAATAGTTTTCTCCTTGCTACGGGAGAAAACGAATATTCTTCCACAGTATTTCCCCATAGTCAAACATTACCATTAGCACAACAAGAGAAAATAGTCTAGAAACTACTTGGTACAGCCATGTAAATCCCAGTGACCTCAGTCACATTACAGCAATATGAGAGAGTATTGAATTTCTCCCTTATCTCCCCCCCTCCACTAAAAAAAATATTACTGGTCTAAGTGGTTTTCATTGATCTTAGATGAAGCTCTCCTAGATGCTTCCATTAACCAAACTTAATTAGCATAGCAACAGTAATTCAAGCTGGAAATCATTTCCCAGCAGAAAAACACAAAAACAAAAACAGAACTGTTCAGACAGAGAGAAGAAATAGAACAGAAATTAGAGTGTTTAGACAAAAACAGTCTAAAAATAGTAATTATCAAATTCCTGGCATATAATTGAATCATTTTCACGGGAAACATCCCACATTCTTTGGGTAGAAATGAGTCGCACCCCCCCCCCTTCACAGCTACTGCTCATTAAGGGTGATGTGTTGCCATGGATACAGAAAGGATGGATGGTCGGCTGTGGAAAGCGAAAACAAGAAGTGATGGGCTGTGAAGGTGGCTGCACTAGTGAACCATTGGGAGTCATGGGATTGCACTAGAAGAGCAAGAGTGATGGTGCAGCTGCATTGAGCAAGGCTTTGCAAGGATTCATTAAGGGAGGATGCCACCACGCAATCCGATGTAGGCTAACAAGACTGGAAATCCTCATTTTATCAGCACAATACTTCAGTGACATGCACATCGATTAACTCTTGTGACAGAAGTACAGGCATGAGAACCAGAACCAGACTCTGTTCCTGTATCTGTTCTGGAAAAAAAATATTACAGAACCTAATCATCTCATCCACAGCATCAGGGATTCACACACCTCCAATGTGATAGATGCCATCACATGCCAGCATTGCCCCATTGCATTTTATAACGGACAAAGCAAATGCAAAATGGATACAAATTTGACCTCAGAAATGGCCATATTCAAAAGCCAATGGAAATGATGCCAAATGATTTCAGTCTTCCAGGACACTCCAACCTCAGTGTTGCCATCCTTGAATGGAAGGCAGATATAAACAGGAATCAGACAAACAAAGAGTTCATCAAGAGGTTTGTTTACCTCTATTCCCTATGGGGTGGAATAGGGACAAAGGTGGCATATCTCATTGCACAGAAGATCAGTACAGGCTTTCTGTGTTACCATCCAGCTCTTACTTGTTTTGTGACTACTGTTGCAATTGTCTCTGTAATTTTTGCACTTCTTTTCTCTGACCTTTCTCAGAGGTTAAATTATTTCTGTCCTGTTCTTGGACTGAGCATTCATCACCATACATTTATTTGTACTCATGTATCCCCCTTGTTATCGCTCAATGGCTAAATAATATCTCTAAAGGTATCTACTGATGCCTTTTTCATTTCCCTTCTTCCGCACCCATCCCCATGTTCCTGGCCCAGCATTTATACAAATATCTGTCAAGTGAGTGTATATTCCATGCATCTGGGTTTCAGCTTCCAAAAGCTTAAACCAAATACAGCAAAACTTGTTGGTCTTCAAGGGGTAGTTTCCACCAGCCAGAATTTTCTGGGCTGCTCTGGAAGTATTATGGCTCCAGAGCTGACATGGATTCTCCCCATCAGCTCCACACTCTATAGCGACTCCAGGCAGCTGTCTATATACACATGCCCATTGTGTTGTCCGGTGGCGGTGGTGGAGGCATGGGTCACTACCTCTGAGGTCAGAAACAAGGTACCCAGCATCGATCACATGGCCTGATGCCTCATTGTGAGCTCAGAGGAAGTCAGTCATGTGACCAGTGACACAGTGGGGATGAATGTGTAGGCCAGGGGTAGGCAACCTTTCCCCTTTAAGGGCTGAGGGACTTCAGCTCCCAGAATCCCAGGAGCTATTGGCCAACATGGGACTATTGGCCAACATGGCTGAGGCTTCTGGGAGCTGAAGTCCCTCGGCCCTTAAAGGGGAAAGGTTGCCTACCCCTGGTGTAGACAGTCACCCAATGTCACTATGGAGTGCTCTGGATTTTCCTGCAAAATCTGGAGCAAATGGTATTTTTTTTTAAAACCAGTTAAAGGGAGGGAAAGGACAGATTCAGTGCAGGACAGGCCTTACATCATGGGAACAGTCTGCATTCAAATTGAGGATATGGCCCTGCATCATGAAAACAGATTGCAATGAGGATGGCGGGGAAACACTTCATTTGGCCCATGTAGACATGCTCTTAAGACAGGGGTAGGCAAACTCGGCCCTCTTAAGGATTTTGGACTTCAGCTCCCAAAAGCCTCAGCCATGTTGGCCAGTAGGCTGGGATTCTGGGAGCTGAAGTCCCTCGGCCCTTAAAGGAGACAGTTTGCCTACCCCTGTGCCTAAGATGTTGATTCAGCTGCAAAAGGCTCTTGGTTGTTTTTGCTGTGACAGACTAAAGCAAAAGCAAAGCAAAGCAGCTTCATTTTTGTATATACCGCTTCATACTGCGCTATGGGGTGTCTAAGTGGTTTACAACTGTAAGCTCATTGCCCCCCAACAGTTGGGTACTCATTTTAGTGACCTCAAAAGGATGCAGGCCTGAGTCTAGCCTGAGCCCTGGCTAGTACTGAACTCGCAACCTTGTGGTTTATGAGTGAGTGGCTGCAGTACAGGCATTTAACCACTGCACCACCAGGGCTCCTAACATGACTCTTCCCAGGTATAAAGTGCATTTAATCCTAAAAATATCCCGCAAAAGCGGAATGATT